GTTCACAAACACTGTGACCTCTTTTTGCATTAAGATTTCCAGCTCTAATCTGATAGATCTAATGAATATCTGTACCCCAACTTTGGTAACGATGAGGTAGAGTAGAGGGATGCCATTTGAAAAATAGCTACATGGAAACTTCGGAAATTTTGGTGATTTTGTTTTGTGCTAATTTGTTATCCAACAGAAAACTGGAAAGAAACAGAAAAATTAAGGACTGAAGACAAATTTTATTTTTGTTCAAGAAACATCAGGGATTTCGGCTTGCACATTGAGCCCTGAACAATGCTGATTTTACACTGTTTTCAATGAGAGTTGAATTAGTGGATGGCACCCACATGTGCATGTAAAAGAGAAGTGTATAAGCAGCAATGAAACAGCCGTAGAAAGTGTGCATCTAGACGCACTCCATCCCAAGCAGAGCATGTCTCACGTCTTGCAGTTTAGCATTGTTCACAAGTTCAAAGAGCGGCAAATGCTCGGGGGATCTACGCGTTGTATATGCTTGTCTGCATATTACACGTGTAGCAAAAATACTAGCGCTGTGTTCTGCAGTGAGAAAATGGAGCGGAATTCAACCATCATGAAATTTTAAGAAGTCAACACGGTTTGGAATCGTGTAGATTTAGACACGGATCGGACGTTCATAGTGTGAAAAGGCCTATGGATTCCCCAAACATACGAAACGTACAAGCTCAACCGATTGCTTCTCCATTGACAGATCGTTCAGTGTTGAATCGTTTCCCCACATCTGGAATATGGGTACCACAAATAGCACACCAGCGAAGAGGATGCCACTGCCCAGGAAGAAAAATCAAAGGATGATAATGACTACTTGGAGACGAATGTACTTGGTATGTATACGTAGGCGATATTTGTTCGTGTACTATGAAACAATAACCTTCTCAGCATTTGTGCACTAACGTTATTATCTAAACATATAATTTTGTGACTACGAAATAAAGCCGTACATAGCAGAAGCAAATCGGAAGGCACGGTTAACATTCTGACCACCCATACCAAGGCTGCCATGCACCTATAGACAAATAAATGTACTTGTTTAGGTAAACTTTGACAAGATATTAAGTAGGAAAACTTTAAATTTCTAACCCGAGTTTGGCAAAAGACAACCACTTAGTCGAATCACCAAATGCAGCCGGATATGGGGCCTGCATTATTTGTGCGTGTTATCTGAAGAGCTACAGACCCTACACAATTGGTAT